GGAACGCAATTACTCGACGACTGAGAAGGAATGTCTGGCCGTCGTCTGGGCCCATCCCGAAATTCCGCCCATACTTGTACGGGACTCCTTTTTGGGTGGTCACCGACCACCATTCGCTGTGTTGGTTAGCGAGCCTGAGGGACCCATCGGGACGCCTCGCTCGGTGGAGCCTACGACTGCAAGAGTACGACGTGACCGTGGTCTACAAGTCAGGCCGAAAACACAGCGACGCCGACTGCCTGTCCAGAGCCCCTGTCGAGTCAGCTACCGGATGTGCCAAAGACGACGACGACGACGACGACCAATTTCTTGGCGCGGTGAGCACCCGATCGAAAAGACCATCAGGTTTTCCTGATGGACCATCAGAGTTTCTTGATGGTCCATCAGACTTTTCTGATGGTCCATCAGGTTTCCTGATGGACCATCAAAGAAGTCTGATGGACCATCAGCCCACTCCTGATGGACCATCAGCTCCCATTCCTGACGGACCATTAGACTTCTTTGATGGCCCATCAGGCTTCCTGATGGACCATCAAGAAGGTCTGATGGACCATCAAGAAAGTCTGATGGACCATCAGCCCATTCTTGACGCACCATCCGACTGTCCTGATGGACCATTAGACTTCTTTGATGGCCCATCAGGCTTCCTGATGGACCATCAAGAAGGTCTGATGGACCATCAAGAAGGTCTGATGGACCATCAAGAAGGTCTGATGGACCATCAAGAAGGTCTGATGGACCATCAAGAAAGTCTGATGGACCATCAGCCCATTCTTGACGCACTATCCGACTGTCCTGATGGACCATCAGATGCGTTTAGATGGTCCGTCAGAAGTTCCTGACGGCGCCTAATGGTCTGTTGGACACTCTTGATGGGCTGTCAGAGGATGTCTAATGGTCGTCGGAAGTTTTATGTTTCACTTCGGTTCCATCAAAAGCGCCTTATTTCCCGGCCGTCGGGACTTTCTTTGCGCACAATGTTTATCAAAAGTGCTTGATTAATTGTTGCTCGCGGTATTCTGACGGCGCCGTCAGAGGCGTTTAATAACAATTGATATATGGGTCGCGACATATTTGCCAGCATGTGATGAGTCGCGGGCTCGCGAGGTGCTGACACAACTATGTCACGCGATTTGTCTTTACTCACTGAGTCCCCGATTCACCGGCAACTGTGCGTTCGTCTGCAATCACGCACCGTGGAAATTTCCCGTACTCACGGTAGGGTTCATCGTTTCGCATATGCTTCATCTACGCCTTTCATTACCAACGGAAGGTGGACAGACTTTTCGTCGACACATTAATTTTTATAGACACGGCACCCCCCGAGCCCTGCAACCGTTGTGCGCATCGGATGGTCGCGGCGGCAATTAAGTTCAGCTTCCAAACAGACCGCGCGGCCATTGCTTTGCTTTACTTTGCTCGAAGGTTAAATAGTCGGGGGAATGCGCCACCGCCTCGCTGAATGAGCGGCCCAAAGTCGAGGAGGCTCCGCAACTTTGCACGCTACAAAATAGGCGATTTGAGGCTATGTCGCGATAAAAAAAGCTGTCGTTGAATCTCGACTATGCTATATGGTGGGCCGCAGCCACGTGGTCAATGGGTTGATGTGATTTTTTTTATTAAGGAAAAGCCTTATATGTCTCGTCATTCAGACGACCTTAAAAGTTCTTGAGCGGAAACACGTCGAGTCACGAAAGGTACTAAAACCGGCGACATGAAAGGTAGAAAAACCTGCATTATTCAGTATTCAGCTGCACTATACTTCGTTTCAGCTTCGGTCCGAGCGCGGCCGCTGTTATGAGCCGAAGGGCCAATCAGACAGCGAAAGAGACACAACGTCATGGCGTGCTCTCTGCAATACCAGCCGGTATTCGCCGTCTCCCTGTGCGCGTTCCTTCGCCGGCTAGTCGTATCAAGCGCAGAGAGCACACCATGACGCTGCGCTTTTTGCGTTGTTTGATTGGCCCTTCGGCTTATAACATCGGCCGCGCTCGGACCGAAGCTGAAACGAAGTATAGAACCCTTTTGGACCAGGGCGGTCGTTAACGAAGCAGCTTCGCATGGGTTTTAGCCTGAATTAAAGTTTTCAACACCACCGCCACCGCCACCAACATAGATATAATAAAAATAAATAAAAAACACAAAAAAAACTCGCACAAAAAACGTTTTCTTCCTTCTCCCCAAGGGGGAGTCGAACCAGCGACCTCTCGTTCCGTATGCCGACGCGCTACCCCTGCGCCACGGGCGGAGGACTGTCGAGGGTCGCGTAAATTATGAGTTAGTCTTTAATGTATCCGCTACTGCCGACGCATCGGCTACTTGCGGCGCCAGTTTCTTTACACGCAGTGTTGACACTTGACATATTTCTCTCAAAAATGTTCTCATTCAAGTTCATACGCAGTGTTCGACACTCGACGATCCGTTAATTTCAATGTATACTTTATATTTTGAAAAACATTCGCCGCTTATATCCGTTCGAGCAACTGCGTCTTCAAAAGCTTCGAATCCAAATCCAAATCCAGTTGTTTCGTGCGCTTTGTTGCCTCGGCAGCCTCACCTTTCCTCGTGGAGTGTTTTCGAGGTTTTAGATATTTCGGTAGGTTTCACTCGATTTGGCGAGAACGGAGAAATAAGCGACGTCCACAGGGCTTTATTTAAAAACTGCAATCCTTCGAATGTGGTCGACTTCGAGCGTAGGACGGCGTACAAGGTGTCTTGGGACGGCGACGCGAACGCTCGAGGAGGCTATTACGACGCCGAGATCCTCGAACTGACGGGTGAGTGTGTATTTTTTACCTTCCCGAAGTGCGACGTAGCCACAAGCAGTCGCCGTTTTCTTTCTTTTTTATTGCGACTGTAATTAAAAGTGAACATTGTAGATTGCTTATATGGGGCACCAAGCTAGGCAGATGAATGCATGGGCTAATACTTCAGTTGAGCGTGTGGACTGAACTGCCTTGCACGTGATATCATATGGCACCCTGCAAGCCACCATTGCTCCTGTGCCTTAAGTCCGCGCTAATTTACTCGTACTCCACCGTTCCGAGTTTCACACTCCGAGCGCAGCAACTAAACGAAGCATAGCGTACAGTAGCGCAACACACCGTAGCTGTCGGCGAGCTGTATGAGCCACTTCCGACCACAGTTTTATGACAAACCCAGCATTTCGCGGATGCCAAAATTATTTTGAACATAAATTAATTAAGGGCTCTGTAAAATGGTAAAGTAAACGCCCCCCCCCCCCCCCCCAAAAAAAAAAAAAAAAAGAAAAGAAATGCGCGGCGACGTTAGGAAATTTTTACGAATGTTTTAATATTTGTGAAAGGTTTGAAGACTCGCTTCGACCAGATATGCTGAATGTTACTTTGACCGATCTATTTATTGACCATGCATGCTGCTTAGATTCAAATGAAAGACAACATTCTTGAACTCGCTTGTCAAAACAAGAAACTCTCAAACTTGTCAGATATCTTGGGTTTCCGTCTTCCAGCGCGAGACGGAACCTGTTGATGTGCTACTCCAATACTGGCACACCACCGTTCAATAAATAGCACATTAATTAGTTTTCAGGCGAGATGCATGGACAAACTTTTTCCGCAACGTTTTCGCTTTCCAATCGAAGTATCTTTATTCGGAGGGCTGTGCATTCTACAAAGGGCAGCGATCGGACTGTCCTCTCATACCATCATAACGCTATTGTTCGATGGGTAATTGGTTTTCAGGTGAGATTCGGGAACAAACCTTTTCCGTAATGGTCCTGGCTTTGAAATCAAATCATTTTACTCGCTGGGTTAAGCATTCTTCAACTGAAATGAGGCAGCGATCCACTGCACTCCTCGTCTCGGCGACGTTTCTGTCAGCGCGAAGAAATGACTTGCACTTCGAGAAATACTCGGTGCAAAAAGAGCACGCTTGAGTGTCAGTCCTTTGGTGGCGCTTCTGTCCATTTAATGAACAGAGCGCCAAACTCTTGCGCTCTGCAGCACAAACTTAGGCGCACAATCGTGGCTGATTCAATGTCAATTCATGCGAGTCATATAATACATGGCTTGCATTGATTTGCATCAGCTGCCATTGCTTCCTGACCAATTTATTTATTCATGATCACAGATGTACAGTCGGGGACAAAAGTCCCTAGGACGTGCTAGCTGCGGCTGAAACCCATTGCTCTGCCACCTGCCGGCGGGTCGCCTGGTTTCGAGATCACACAAAAGCGCATGCGCGTCCTACTCTGCCTGCAAACATGTGCGTTCCCTGCTCTTCTGCAGCACAGCACCTAACTAGGAATCGGGCACATGGTACTGCCTCGGAGATAGCGCTGGCGCTGACGAGCGTCTGCTATACATTCCAAAACTCGAGGTACCGCCTGGGGCATTGCGCCGCATTTCGTCGTGTCAGCGCACCTTGCTTTATAACCAGTTCAGCTTATCGCTTAATTGAGCTGCCGTGACTTCTTGCTTTATAGGTGCCGTGTCAGTAAGCACTATCTCCGAAGTGGTACCACGCGCCCGATTCCGAGTTAGGCGCCGCGCCGCAGCAGAGCGGGAAAGCGCACACGTTGGCAGGTACAATAGGACGCACGTGCGCCCTTCTGCGATCTCGAAACCAGGCGACCCGCCGGCAGATGGCAGAGGAATGCGTTTCAGTCGCAGCTTGCGTGTCCTGGAGACTTTTGTCCCCGACTGTACCTACAAGAAACCCAGGAGGAAATGGCAACTGAACTGGCCAGGCGCAAACAGGCAGCTGAAGCATCTGCAAGTTCACACAAAGCTGCTCCTCCCAGGAACGTCAGCCCTTGTGCCCTCTAACGCAAAGCAGTTTTTGTGGAAATTTTGTCACCAGAATATCATTACCTGTCTATGTAATGTGGTACAGCCTATTTTTTCTGGGAGTGTCCAAAAGCTAAATCTTAACGCTAATTAAATTTTTAGATGCGGTTTATGTCAGGACACAAGCTGAAAGTGACGATGTTGCAAGGCTCTCAAAAGCAACGCCAGCCACATATGGCTAGCAGCGACCGAAACGGGCACACAACTGGCCAATCCAATTGATGCAGAAAGAGAGCTGGTCGTGCACAAAATGTGAGTGTGGAGAGCAGCTTGGGAATCCCAGCACTGTCATGTCGAGTCCTTAACATTTATACTTCCTTGGGATTGCTCTCTTTCACCACTCAGTCAAGGCTTTGCAGTTTACCAAGCCTTCTTTATTTCACAAAGGCCAGTAAAGCAGTCGGGAGTGACAAGGAAGACAAAGAATCAACTAAATCACAAAAAAAAAAGAAAAATAGCACAGGGATCCAGTTTGGTGCCGGCAACAATGTGTTGTCATGATTTGTTGATGAGGAATGCCATGCTTTCTGCCTACACCCCAATGTGCGTGAGAATGCTGCTAGGGGGCACACCAGCAGAGCTGCTAGAAACACTTTTCTCTGACTTACCCTGCTCTATCAATTGCAGGACTACCTGCGGCTCGGCTGTTGATGCGGGAGGTGCTGTAGGGCCCTACTGCCTAACACGTAAGTCATTTATGGCTTGACCTCTGGGTACTCGTATGTTTACCGTACTAACAGAACCCATGCTTTAGCATTAAAAAGGTAACTTTTTTTAATGAACCTGCAGTATATGAAAGAAGTTTGCTGTGCGGTGATAGAGCCGAACATGTCATAAGCAACACATGGCTTATATCTTGCATAGAGGATATTCATTCATAAAGGGTGGAAACAATAATGCTGAGAAAGAAGGCATGAACGGCAAAGAGCTCTCTACTCTACTGTTGTGGCTGCGCTCTGTTGCTGAGCAGAATGACTGAGGAATGTCCTTCCTACGTCATGACTACGTAGCAAGTTCCCCAATGTTGCTAGATTACCTCCCAAATAGGCTCCACATGCATCCACCAGGTGCACATTGAAAGATTGTTTGATTAGCTTTAAAATTAGTTTGCTTGTGCCCTTAAGGAAAGGACTGGTATTTTTGAGGTTATGTTGCAACCTGCAACTCATTAAAGCGATAAAATGAGCGCTGGAATTTGGTTTCTGTACCTCTTTAATGTAAAATTGTTTTTTTCAGTTGCTGACGAGGACATCCTTGCAAAGAATGAGATCGTGGATCCTAGCATCGGCCTCCAGAAAAGGAAGGAATGGTAAAATAGAAAAACTTTTCACTTTCATTCAGTGTATAATATACATTAAAAGAGTTTAGGATAGTGCAGGGGTGGCCAGAGTGACATGGAGTTAGAGCCGCAGACAAAACTACGAAAGTTTTGTCTGCGGGTTAGAGTCGCTGGAAGAAAGAAAGGGGGGGTGCTACTTTTAACAAGAAACAATATGCAGGGAACAGTTATTTCCATAGATTACAAGTATAATGGGCGATAACAACAAATGACACTATGCATCAGAAGGTCCTTTCCACTGCTAAGCAAAAATTAATACACGATTCACTAGCCAGTCACTGCCCCTGACAACTGTTATGCGTATACGGTTGAAAGTCTTTCTAGAACAATAAAGGAAACGGGGTCACTCGACGCATCTATGTGGCAAAAAGCATTCCAGGTGTATATATGTAGTGTGTTGCCAGGCTGCCAAGACTTGTAGCTCTTTCTAAATTCTAGAACCCCTTTCGTCTAGGGGACACGTTTTCCAGGGAGCCGCGAGCTGCACTTGGACACGCAAAGAGCCGCGTGCGGCTCGCGAGCCTCACTTTGGCCACTCCTGAGATAATGTAAGCACAGTAGATTGAATCGATTGCAACAAGAAGTCATTAAACCATTATTGTAGCCAGGCTCTTAATTGTAGTTACAGCCAGTGCCTGGAAAACATTCTGTTGTCATGCTCACCTGATGCAACTAAGGGATTATGTTGCTGTTTCATGCAGATGCCATGAAGCTTTGTAGGCCCATCAGCTTCGCAGACGCCCATGAAGATAGGAATTCATGTGTAGTGCTGTCTTAAATTTAAAGGCCTAAATTTCATTAATGTAATAATTTTAGTGCATTTTCAATGCATCTTGTACCACTCTACGTCAACGACTGGTATATGTGAAGCTGTTTCTCGCTTTTGTTTTTAACAGATCCATGTCGGGCAAGGTGTGCACGTCAACCAGGAATGCGGGCAACATGCGGAGAGCAGAGTGCGACTCCATGTTTTGCAAGATCACTGCTGCTTCCATAGGGTGAGTGGAAGTGCCCTTGGAGAGGTCGGTGACCGGCACCCTCTCCAACAAGGCAAAGGCAGTGAGGCAAGAGAAGGCGTTTGCCCCGCTCACTCAGCGCAAGGTGCAGGCTCTCTCATTAAGCAAGCATGTTTAAAATCTTGATATGAATCTCGCGGAGTCGCGTAAAATATTTCATGCTAAATTCGTATCAACGAAAGAGAAACAAAATTTATATTTTGAAACACAAGGAATGCATGAATGGGCATTTATTTATGACAGAAAATATCTTGTATGCAATTTACACGATTCTAACACGCCCCCGATAGTAACACACGGTTATAATCAACCCACGAATGTTGAAAAAATGAATTAATGTCGATTCTACTGCGCAGATAAATGTCGATTCCACTTCGCAGATAAAATAATGACGGCTGAACAACATACACTTTGTGGAAAACATTTTATCAAATGCACATACTCGGAAAGTGCCCACACTATGTGCTGTTGAAGCCCTACATCAAAAACTTGCAAGCAAAAATTCGGTTTCTTTGTCTTTCCAACCAAGCTCGCATGTCACCGTGGACCACACCGAAGACACCACCAACATCACTCGGTTTTCTGTTTTTGCCAACGCAGTTACTTTGCTTTTTAGAGGTAACCTTATAGTAAAATCGGTTTTGCTTTTCCAAGGCTGAAACACCATTCCACGAGATCGCAAAAACAAAAAAGCGATTTTGGATTCAGATTGGATTGGATTTGAAACATGTGTTGATGGTGACGGGGCTGGCCACTTTGCATTTTTTTTTAGCATTTTGTTTAGTTTTGGTTTTTGGGTCCGATTGTAACATGCATGTAATTTTGAGCTCCAGTTTTTGGGTAAAGTGCGGCTGATCCCTGGCAGCAACAGGCAATCAGCCGCCCGGAGCCTTGAAAGCTTACAGTCGCCGATCGTGGCCTCCTTGCCACTATCAGTTGTGGAGCACGCATTCGTATCAGCCGTCGCAGTGCGTAGAGGAATCTGGAACACCCAACAATTTTCACGTCGTATACAATGCACTTCGGCCGGGGAATTTGTTAATTTGTTTTATTCCGAAATTCGTACCAGTTAGTATCACCGAGATTTTACTCTAGTAGGTTGTCTGCTAACACCTGGACATGTGATGGGGGTACCCCGCCAAGAATGAGTCAATCATAACAGATAATAACCGTAAATAATCGCACATTTGTATTTTGAACAGATAATTTTATTTTTCGTTCTAAGCAACAAACTCGAGCAAGTGCTTGAAGAGAAGTCAACGGAGGGCTCGATGCGTCGTGGGCTATCCGGCAAAGCTGGCGTGGCTATGAGCTGTGCCGTTCGGGTGCATAGTGGTGGTGTAGACGTGTTACAGCCTAGCCATTTGAAACACCTGTGGGCTTTACGTGGACCAAAGCGGACTAAGCTGTCTAAGCGCCTATGTGTGAGATAAGTAATGTCAAGGTCATCGCGTTCAGGGCGAGATTACTCCAACAGTTGAGTATACCTCCAAACAGCGGCGCTGCTCCGATGTGTAGTGCAGCTACGTACATAGCGGTTTTCGCCATGTCACGACTACGTCCAAGATCCCCAACATTGCTAGATTACCTCCCAACGAAGCTTCAGAGGCCTCCACCAGGTGCACATTGAAAGACTGTTTAATTACCTTTAAATTTAGAGCCAGGCCATGGATGGAAGATCTTTCAAGGAATGTGAAAGATTGTTTTTATATAGAACTGCATTGTTCTTTCTGGTGCTCATGATGCTATTTTTTTAATTCTGTGGCGTGTCTAAGCTGTTACCACAGCGAGGGATGATAACCAAGTATAAGCAGTTTCCAACGTACATTGTCTACTTATCTACAGTTGTAGCTCCTATTTCTTACAAGGTCACTAGCCTAGCAGTGAGATTTATAGACATGGGCTACCTGTTTTGTGCTTAAAAGAATCTAACAGAAGCCAGGGTGAGCTGTCTATTGGGAGTGGAACATAAATCAGGATACTGCGGTACTTTTGCTTTCATGGTGATCTCTGAACACTGTAAATACTAAGAAACGTTGAAGGTTTGTTAGGTGCCAGCTGCCACTTAATTGCTTTTATTTGAGACTAATTTACCCTTGGTCTTCTCAAACTATGACCCTCCAGCCTGTATTTATGACGTTCTATATTGTTTTAAGTCTGAGCACTGCAAAAAATAATCACCCTGGAATTTCAATATTCCAGGCTGCTTTTGACTACACCTGAGGGAGAAAGGTACCACCAGGCTGAAAGGGCAGCCCGCACCAGAAGATACGGCGGTACCTGTCAGAAAAGCTGTCCAATCTCAAAAGAAATCACTACAAAGGTATGTGCATCTATACTCTAACTTCCTTAATTAAGTAATATACTATTTTGGGTCTCAAGTTTACAAGCAATTATTTTAAATGACGGTACAGATAAATTATTTAGTGGTTAATATATCTAAATATTTATGCAAACAACTTTAAAGTAGTCTGTTGATCAGCTGACCACTTGAAAAAGGCTGTGGGTTGCTTGGTCGCTACTGCCATCCCATCAGGCCGTGCTCGCTCACTCTCCAAAAAGTTGCATGGTCACACAATTACAATGAAGCACGTCACTCTTACTGCCCCTTAGTCGTCTCTAGGCCCACTCTGCTGTTTACGTATGTCAATGGTCGTCCTGTGTTTGGACTCATTGCTGATCTCTGAATTGCCCTTGATATGTCCAGGCTCATCCCTTTGCTGCCTGTCCTCCCCCGATGCGTGGTCCTACCACGGACTGCCCATGCTGTTGCAGGTCTGCCATCGCTTGCACCCCATGTTGTAGCCTTTTTACCCTTTTCTTCATATTAATTTAGCTTAATTTATATATTGCCAATACTATTGAAATGGAACAAATGTACTATCGCAGCCAATATGAGCTGAAACGCCACTGCACGTGGCACGCGATGAGAGTTGTCTCTCAGATTGTTCAGCAAACCTTGGTATGCGTTGAGGTAGAAACAAATCACTTCTTGTGCTCGTTGCACCACTATGCCGTTCCGTGTCAATTTTCAGCTCATGGTGGCACAATGAGTGCAAGAAGCAACCTGCCTAAACCTCAGCAAACACAGAGGTTCACTGATAATCCGACAGGTGGCTCTGATAGTACCGCACGCCAAGCGTCATGGCGCTTCAACTAATATTGGTCACAATAGTACTTCCTCGAATGTTTCTGGTTTTTCTGTACTACCTAGCCATTCCGCCCAGCGAAACAATGTATGATTTCATAACTTCATAATAAAAATATCAAAGCAATGCAGCTTGTTTGACTTTATTCTTATTAGTAGCTGCATTCGCCGTACTCAAATGTCGGGCTGGCGATTACCAGTGTGCAGTGGACAATATAATTAAATTCTAAGTGGGATATGCACCTCGTCATGCTCCAGGCATGGCATAATTAAGTTTCCAGATTATGCATTCACATATTGTTGTGTTTTTTAAGTTGTGGCCAACTCGATTTGTTTCAAATTAGCCATGAAACCACCCTAATCAAACCGTAAAAAAATGGGCGTCTCAAAATACGACAGGTCATTCGACCATCAGACCAATCCAACAGACCATCAAACCATCAGGCCATCAAACCATCAGGCCAACAGACCATCAAACCATCAGGCCATCAAACCATCAGGCCAACAGACCATCAAACCATCAGGCCAATAGACCATCAAACCATCAGGCCATCAAACCATCAGACGTCCCAAAATACGACTCCATCAGACCATCAGACCATCAGGATTTTCCTGATGGTCTTTTCGATAGGGCATTCACGGCATGGCAGCGCTCCAGTGGGACGATCCTGAGTTGCGTGCACTGATCGACCACTTGGAGGTACGAGGGGGTACGATTCCCCGAGCCTTCTTGCGTGACCTGCCAAGATTCGCCGTCCGGAGAGGTCTCCTCTATAAAGAGAACGTCGGGGACAACAACTCGACGTGGCTCCTGGTCATTCCTGCTAGTCTTCAAGAATAGATCTTCCAAGCCTGCCACGACTACCCAACATCTGGTCACCTTGGCTACAGTAGGACTCTTACACGGATCCGAGAAAAATACTACTGGCCCAAGCTCCCGAAGACTGTCCACCTCTACGTCCGTTCGTGCCACGAATGCCAACGACGCAAGAAACCACCGACGAAGCCGGCAGGTCTCCTGCAACCGATCGCGCCCCCGACTGCACCATTCCAGCAGGTTGGAATGGATCTTCTCGCACCTTCCCCACCGTCGACGCAGGGAATCCAGTGGATAATCGTGGCAACTGGTTATCTCACCAGGTACGCCGAGACAAAAGCACTCCCGTCGGGGACCGCCGTGGAAGTAGCAAAGTTCTTCGTGGAGTCTATCGTCCTCCGACACGGCGCTCCCCAAGTCCTGATTACGGACCGAGGATCCTCGTTCATGGCGCAACTGACACAAGAGGTACTCCGCCTGAGCCACACCGACCACCGCCGGACCACGGCATACCACCCGCAGACCAACGGGCTGACGGAGCGACTAAACAAGACCATCGCCGACATGATTTCGATGTAAGTCGACGTGGAACACAAGACGTGGGATGAAGTGCTGCCCTACGTCACGTTTGCGTACAACACGGCGATTCAAGAAACTACCGGCGTTACACCCTTTCAGCTGGTGCACGGCAGAAAGGTGACGACGATGCTCGACGCCATGCTGCCCCACGATCCAACGGACGACGGCACCGACGACGCCCAGCTGGTCACCCAACGAGCAGAAGAAGTACGACAGCTAGCCCGTCTTCGAATAAAGAACCAGCAACGTGTCGACGCAGGCCGCTACAACCTCCGCCGTCGCGACGTGGAGTTCCAGCCCGGAGACAGGGTATGGGTGTGGACGCCCATTCGCCGCCGCGGCCTCAGCGAGAAACTGTTAAAGCGCTACTTCGGACCCTACAAGGTCATCCGCCGCCTTGGGGATTTGAACTACGAGGTGCTCCCCGACGGAACTCGACCATCAGGACGCCGCCAGCCACGACCCGAAGTCGTCCACGTAGTTCGACTCAAGCCGTTCTACGCGCGTTAGGATTGTGACACTGCATGTTTGTTTTGTTTCGCCGTAATTGTTTTAGCCATTTCCGTTTTCCTTTCGTTTTGCATCGGGGCGATGCACTTTTAAAAGGCGGATAATGCCGCCCGCAGAGCCGAGAAGGCAACGCTTGGTCATGGTCTTCTAGAAGTTTCCCGGTCATTCTCGCAGCAGACGTAACTTTCCCTCTGCTTTGTTATTCTCGAAAGTGTCAGTTCATCCTCGCCCGGAGCGCGCGACGCTCGAACCTTCTTTGCCGAACTTTTGAGATAGTGACGCACGGTAGATAAGCAGCTACCCGCGACCTTGTCGAGTCAGTGTCAGTCTCGCTCGCGCTCTGATTCGCCGCCGAAGCGCCGCCTGCTTTTCTGCTGTCTCGACGCTCTTTCGTTACTTATTTTTGGTTGGCACAAGTTCGCCCATTAAACCTTTATTTTCAGTTCACTGTTCGCCTTTTCGTCGCATTAACTCGTGACAATACTGTACATTAAACGATGTATTTATTCCCCTCCTTATGTATTGTATCCCAATTGGGATACCTTTTAGGAAAATAAATCTGATCTGATCTGCTCTTTCGCGCCTTCGCTTTGGCAAAATCTGATATAGTTTGTTCAAAAGATAAATCACGGAGAAGATTACTCTCAACTGATATGATAAGGAGAGAGATCAGCTTCCCATCCGGAATGTTAGAACGAAGCCGATTCTTTATCAGTGACAACTTTGAAAACGATCGCTCGCCTTCACAATTTGCCATGGTGTGCTTAGGTATTTTCGCAATGCAATCGAAAAGTTTGGAAACATATGAATAAGTTTTCTTTTGTGCAGCAATTGCATTAATCATTGAGCACTCGTGCCCTGCATGCAGAACGTTGCAGAGAATTTGAAAACTGAATTACCTTGCCTGAAAATGCTGGCTCTAAATAATTTTGGTAGGTTTTCACCAACTTCTCGGTCTGCTGTGCAGAGACATCTCGCTCCCAACTTCTGTCATCAATTTTAAAAACCCGATCTTCTCGCAGAGTTCAGCTTAGAACCTTTAGCACCCGCAAATTAGAGCCCAGATTGTCAGGTACGACAATGCAAGGCTATATAAGGAACCTTTCCCTACCTTGTAGCGTACAGTCGCTTTTTCCGTCTGGGTACCTTCTCGAAACGATATGTTTGCCCTCATCCTGATAGCCCTAAATCGTACTCAAAATGCGTTCTCTCGCCTCAAAGGCATCAACGAGAGGTCGCAGCGAATTAACAAACCCCTCCAGAGAGCTTAGGAGATTGACAGCAGTCGAAATATCTAAGCCAGGCTTCTTGAGTTCTGCACTGGTTTTGTCAAAACGCTCGAAGATTTCACTCCAGAAAATGGTCACCAACGCGGTCTCGAGCTTTGTCATTTTCTTAAAAAGAGAGCGCGCTTCATTCCGGGTGCCACCGTTTTCTTCTCCGTTCTTTGAGACAGATTCAAGCCAACGCTGAACCGCCTTGAAATTTTTACGAATGACCTCGCATGATTTGGCATGTCTTAACCTCTTGGTTTCAGAGAGGCTTTTTAGAACTTGGTGTTCACCAGTTTCACTCATGCTGTCTAAAAGATATTTCCACCGCTTAGGGACGGCAACAAAGAATGTGTACAGATTGAGTTCCACCAAAAACTTTGACGGCCTTCAGGCAACTGGCTACTGGCAACACTACACGCGCCAACTAAGTTTAGTGAATGGCCTGCGCACGGGACGTACACGGCGAACTTGTTGAGGTGTTTAACTTGCGCTTGCAGTACTTTGTACTTCCCCGACATATGACTTGCGTTGTCACACGCCTAGCCCCTGCAGTCGTCAATCGAGATGCCGTTGCTTGTCAACAGAGACATCACCATATCGAAAATATACAACCCTGTATGCGATTCAACCGGAACAAATCCAAGAAAGCGTTCATGCACTTCTTACTCTAAACAGGAGCGTAAAACAACAGACAGCTGGTCAACGTGGGTTAGGTCTGGACTCAAATCAATTAAGAGAAATATTTTGCCCGTTCAACCTCGTCAACAAGACGTTCTTTCGCGGCCTTTTCCATAAGCTCAATAAATTTGTCACAAATTGTTTTGACAGGTATAAGCTAGATAAAGTCGTCACGAATTGTTTTGACACGTATGATATGTGGCCTCTGCCCTTGTTTCCATGGCCCTTAATGTGCTCGCTCAAGAATAGATCAAACTGGGCAATGGTTTGAAGCACTCTAATATAATTTCCATTTCGCGGGGATCCAAAAACCTTTCCACTTCCCCTAAACGCTAGGCTTCGTTCAGCTAA